ATATTTTCAGTTGCAGGCTGAGTCATTTCTACCTTCTCTCTGTCAACACTCTGGTTTCATTTAAAAGAGCCAATTGTCAGATATTGTCCAAGATTAAACTTCAGACTGGCTAGCAGCCTCGCACAGATGAGCTACCCACGTCATCATTTACCCAGAATGCTTTGCATGTAAATAAAATGGCTCCGTCCGTGTTAAAATATATTTTTAAACTTTTAGTTTAAAAATTATAAAAACTGAACATCCTACAGTATTTTTACAGTCTTTATTTTACGGTTAAAATATATGTTTATCATATATATAAAGTCTAATGTTACAACTGATCGGGGATCCCTTTAATGATGTGATGAAACCTCCCAGAAACAACAAACTCTTTGTGGATTTCTTTTCAGTACAGTGGCTCTGTTGATTCTGCAGCATCTAAAAGCTCTGACCAAAGACTGTTCTGGTGGAAAAGCAATTAGATTATAGAGGAACAGGTAGCCCAAATACAATTTTCGGTTAATATTATTCGGAGAGAACAGCCCAACATGCTGCTCTGAAACTGTGGACCAACAAATCTGAACATAACAGTAACATACATGTAATTTCAGATAAAGTTAACTGTTTGAGGAAAAAATGAGGCGAAGCGGATGAGGCTCTACTTAGCCACAAGAAATGCTACACCATTTTAAAGGCATAGCACAAATCCAAGATCACATGGGAGTTTTGTCAGTGACTTTTGAAAAGATTGCTAACATGGCTAATCATTTTATTTAGTCTCTGGAGAATGGTGTTGGTACAACCAATTGAGGAGTTGTGTTTTAAAAAAGAGCTTTTTTAGAAATAATGGAGTTTAAAATGTTGACCCTGCTGACCATTTTTTCCCACGTTAATGGCCATTATTTTTATTTGTTTTTAGCTTTGATTAGCATGCAATCTGCAATAAAAAATGGTTTTTACTGTTTACAGATATTTCAGCCAGGATGACCGGCAATCACAAACCAAAACATGGAGACTGAACTAAAAAAGATTTGGCATCAGCACTCAGGAGATGAGGTAGGGCAACCTTAATGATGCTAATAGTATCATCTGATGCTTGGCCATGTCTCAGTCTCTGTGGCTTCAGTCTGTCATTAGGTTGTAATGATTCTTTGTGTCAGATCTTTATTTATTTGCTGAAGGGGGATTAAAGGAGCATCTGCTTAGATTCAGTAAATCATAAAATACAGTTGAAATTACTTTTCTGCTCTAGATTGTCGGCACTTGAATTTGCGGGACTGTCTGCGACATTTTGATGTGGAGCTGAAAAAAAAGCAGCAGCTCCCGAGGCAGGTAATCACCACCCGTGTCATCGAGTTCGATTTAGCCTCTTGTTTGAACTCCAGCTGTGACTGAGCCGCTGATGTTGATCCAATCGTTTGTGCTTTTTGGTTTGCTTCTATCATGTCAACTCCATTTTGTTTTTTCTGCATCTTTCCTTTCTTCCATTTCAGTTCTTCTGTTCTAATCRCTTCATTTTGTGTGACTGCTTTAAATTTCTGTTCTTTAATAATTTATGCTGGAGTTATAATCCAACGGATCGACTACTGTGTTAGTACTTTTCAGAACCTTTGTAGTGAACGTGTTTGAAAAGCGATGGTGTAATTTTGCTTTAACTGCTCCAGTGAGGAGCTGCTGGCTAAGCCTGTTAGAAAATATATACAACAACTCTTGAAAAACTTAGAAATAATCAAAGAACTCATGAAAGGAGATGGCAGAATTTTTGTGCACAGAGGAGAAAGCATGGAGACCCAGGCGGCTGTGTGGCTGTGCTGAAAGGGAGGTGATACGACTCAGCCGGACAGTGTAAGGACACTATGTGTCCTAAAGAGGTGGTGTCTTTGTGACAAATTGTCTAATGCCAAAGGGCTCTGTACTCTCTCAGTTTGTGTGATAAAAATGCTGACTCAGCAATCAACGCAATAGTTTTTCTGTTAATAGCTTTAATGTTTTCTGGACTCAGCATCCTTTCAGGTTTTTCAGACATTTGAGATGTTGCAGGTTTTGGAATGGTTTAGCTTTATTTTCGTGTTCTTATAAAAAGGCACCAAGATTTCTACAAATTCTGAAAAACTTTTAGAAAATTTTAGTAACTGATTTTCTACTTTACGTTTTTAGCACCTTTGCCATTTTAGCTACTCCTCTGCTAATTTTAGCTTTCAGCTACTGTTGTGCTGTTACTGTTTTAGCAACTTATCACATTCATAATACGGTATGTTTCCCTCTATCTGTTTAAATACACACTTTTACATTTTTAGTTAAACAAAATAGAACTCTGCTAGATTTTTAAATATTTTTATAAGAAACCGAACAACTACAGAAAAATTATCGAAATTAGTTGTTATTTTTATCTCACTGTTTTCCTCTGAGATGTTTCATGTCTCCAGGTGGAGTATTTTAATCACCAGCTGGTTTTCCTCGGGAGCTGTTATTTGCATAATGACAGGAGGATTGTACATTTGTTTGCATTTTAATTCACCAGTTTTCATCACATTAAAAGTAAAAGTTTTAAAAGTTCAAACTAAAGAGTATATGTAAGTGCCTAGAGGTAGAGGATAAGTCCATTGGAGTGTTTTTCTTAATTTTTCCAGTGTTGTGAGAAACATCCCAACCCTCAAAAATATTTTTAGTCGTAGCGTTTTGTGAACTGCTCAAATCATATCCTGCTCGTTTTCTACACGCTGTGAGGAGGTTTCTTTTTCGCAAACTGTCAGGTGTGACAAAYTGTCCCCTTTAGTGACGTGTCGCTCACCTTTTTTCACAGTTTGTTAGCAGACTGATGTAAACTGGCATCAATCACGTTTTCCTGGTGGGTTTAATGTCATCAGATGTGAAGAGAATAGTCGACAGCAGTGTCCCTCGACAAATAAATCTGAAAATAYGGTTTAATTTGACGGTAAATAGTTTCAGTGGAAGCAGCTGAAGTTAACTAAAAGAAATTGAAGATTCTTGGTTCCTGACTGCAACATATGACTTGGGTTGCTGAAAGCATTTATTTTGTTTAGAGAAGTCATCACAGATYTTATTTCAATCCTTCACAAGAACTCTCAAACACAATGAATTYTAATTTCAAAAACACACATCTGAAGCTCATGAAAATAGCTTACACTCTTAAATTAAGCAAACACAGCAAAACTTTTGAGAGTATTTTGAAGTAAAGATGGATGTTCAGAAGGGATCTTTCTTTTCTTGTCTTCCTTGCCCAGTTTGTTTCCTCTGAGTCAGATTAGAGGCTAATTGCCATGTGGACTAATCATCTGACAGCAATAGGCTCATCTCTGTCGTCCAGCTGGTGATATGAGATTTCTAATGTCCTATTTCTTATTCTGATGGACGTCTCCAGCGGCTGACTTCCTGTCCAAACAGCCAGAAGGCTCCAGCAGCTTCACATGTGCTGACCGCCTGCCTCTCCACCCCTTATTTATTCCTTATGCACATATATTTCCATTACATTACATTATGATCATATATTTCCATTACATTAGTATTTGTTCAAATATACACAGACATTTACCAGAATGTTTTACCAATGTGTAGCATCTAATTTTTGTTTTACCTTGAAAAGGCCAGGGCCAGTTGTCCTCCTCAGGATCAGGAATGATTGCWGTTGGTGGTTTTCCTTTAAGGATTTGTCCAAACCCTTTAGACTTTTTGTGGACTAGTTTTTAGAGCAGTTCCTTATGAGAATGGCCTTTTTTATGTGTGTATTATCTTGTGAGACAGGTGTTGTCACTTCACCTTGCCATGAGGTGATGGCTCTAACCATTTTGCTTCATCCCAACAATGTGAGGATGTGGAATCTTAACACACGTTTGCCTTTGTTTTTCTTCTGTTTATGTTGTTGTGTGTGCTTCTTTGTTTACGTTTTGTTGGGTATTTTTAGTCTCTTGTCTTCCTACAGAGCACCGAGGGAGCAGCTGTAGAAGAGTTGCCGCCTCTCCTCAGCTCCAGATGAAATGGAGTGAGACAGGTTCAAGCCTCCTAACTGTCCTCAAGCTAAATATTACAGCTGGATCTGAAGTGATTTAACACGGGATAGTTTTGTGGAGGTAAATGCAAACTGTGAGGAAGGTTAGACCCACGTACGATACACTGTTTATTATATTTTTTATGATTTTCTCTGGAGTACATCATTACATCTTTAAAGGAAGTATTTTTTTCCTGGCAAATGCTATTTATATATTAAAAAAACACCTTGAAATTGGCCTCTGCCTCTTAAAGAACCTCCTGCCGTTTTTGACACTCCCACTTCAGCATGTATTCACAACAATGCCTCGAAGGGAGGGGTGCTCTGTGGGGCGGGAACTCAGCTGAAGACTGAGCTTCAGGGAGGAGCTTTAAGTAAATAGGCGGAGCTTTGTACCAGCAAGGGTTTAGGCAGCTCCACATAGCTACCACAGGAGATCCAAGGATTTCTCAAACATGCATGAATGAGTCAAAGTAACACTCAGGGTATGTTTTTGATGAGGGAATGACATGATACAAAGCTCAAAACAGTTTGCA